TTGTTAATATCAAATCTGTTATGTGTTTTGTTCATTAAGTGTGAATAACATGCTTTGCAAGAAGTAAAATGCTTTTGGGAGACTATAATTTCAGCTTTTAGTATTCCACATTCTTATATTCTGCAGTAGTGTAACCTTTTAAGAAAAACTAAAAAATAAAAATTAATGCATTACTATAAGGTTTAATATGTACTTGAGATTTAGGTATTTGTAACTTTTCATGTTATGAGAAACTTCTACTTTTGCAGGACATCAAACGCAGAGAAGATGCTGTTACTAGTGGTAAGCTGCAAGATATTTAACCGTGTTGGTTTATTTATTTATTTATCTTTGGCACTACACGGATTGATATTTTATTTTATTTCTTCATTATAGCTGGTGTGCCTGTCAATGATAAGAACTGGCCTCCCTTTTTGCCAATTATACACCATGATATAGCCAATGAAATACCAGCTCATTCTCAGAGGATGCAGTATTTGGCATTTGCTAGTTGGTTGGGTATGCACCTTCTCCTTCTGGTTTTCAAATTTTTAAGGTTTTGTTTTCGGAATTTCAGCTGTAAATGAGAAAAAAACTGAATAAGGATGGAGTTAAGGTTTGAGAAATTAGGCTCTTTGGTTTTGGATATTGGGCCCATGGCTGTTGATGGGCTTTTGTGGGTTCTGAAATTGGCTGTGGTTCTTCAGAATATTGTAATGGCTTGTTCTTGTACTTGGGTTGCACCCCCTTGATGCTTTCTAAAAATTTTTACTTGTAAAAATGGAAAAACTTATTCAGTAAAAATTAGTTGATATCCCGACTCCCGAGTCATATAATTATGCTTTCGGGGTACCTATTAGGTCTACTACAGACAAAACTGTATTACAATCTATTCTTCAAAAAGAATATCCAGTAGAGGTTCCAATGTGAGTCATTGAAGTTCATGATTCATTTCAACAGTGGGTGGGAAACACTGTAGCATTGCTTTCAGAGTTTTACTAAAGCTTTTTGATATTGTAATGCAATTCACTTCCTTTACACATGCCCTAGTGCACTTTTAAGCAGACCCTTTTAATTGATGTGCGCAGGACACTATTCAAATTATTTTCAGGGGATAACTACTATAACCAGAAGCACTTTGCTATTCCCAAAGTATGATTGATCAAGATGACAAATTTTGTGCCTTAATTCTTCTGCAAATTATAATGTTCCATTGAAGTATACTGTATACATTTGCCATGATTAGCTTATGTTACTGACCTTTTAGTGGTGGTACCTTTTATTGCCATTAAGGAGACCTGGGTATCTGAAGTCCTATAGACACTTTTTCTCAATGCATGGATGCCAATTTGACACTCAAACAATATCTATGCAGGCATTGTTCTTTGCCTTACATTCAATATCATTGCGGTGATTGTTTGTTGGATAAAGGGTGGAGGTGAGTTCTCTTCTACCTACTTGTTCATGGTATCTGTTCTTCCTGAGGGGTGTTTCCCAGATAAAACATGGGTTGAATTTCATTCTGAGTTGTGATGTTTGATTGTGTAGGTGTCAAAATCTTTTTCCTCGCTGTAATATATGCCTTACTTGGGTGCCCCTTATCCTATGTTTTGTGGTATAGGCCCCTCTATAATGCAATGAGGTATCTAAATATCTTATACTTTTATGGCATCACAATCAAGTCAAACACTCCCCTCCCCATATCCCTGATAGGGCTTTCCGACTGTTGTAAAAATAACAGCTGATTCTACGTGGCCTACTTTGCAGGACTGACAGTGCACTCAAATTTGGTTGGTTTTTTCTGTTCTACATGGTATGTTGTGTTGTCAAGCAATCGACACTTGTATTTATATATTTAGTACATTTTCAATTATATGTTTTAGCTGTCACTAAATTTATTTATATATTATTCATATGCAGCTTCATATTGGATTTTGCATATTTGCTGCCATTGCTCCTCCCGTTGTCTTTCATGGAAAATCATTAACGTGAGTCTTGCCTTTGTTTCTGCTTTCTGTATTAAATAAGCTAGTTTTAAGAGAGTATGTTATAGTTCTCTGAGAGCTGTGGCACACTTTTAGGAACAATGTTTTCAGGTATTTGGACTAGTTGTCTCTTCTCCCTTTATGTTACCTCAATACCTCGAGCAATTCTAGTGCTTGAAACTAATATAACCTTTTCAAATACTGTTTCATGAGTGATGGAACCCCTTGGTTGCCAGCCTTCAACATAGACAGGCATCACTGTGGTCTGTGGGGCTTGTGGGCTATTAGATATGAAATACACTTCAAAATTGTAGTCAATTATAATGTGTCTTTAGCAAGTATAGCTCCTTTAATCTAACAATTTACATTATCTTTACTGATCCCAGGGGCATCCTTGCTGCAATTGATGTATTCTCTGACCATGTTCTTGTTGGGGTGAGTTAAGAATTAGTCGATCTGCACTACATTTTTTTTTTTGTATACGGTGGAGTAATTGCTTAGATATGTATTTTACTGCATCCTTCATTCATGATGTGCTACATGAATATATATTTATATATATATATATATATATATATATATATATATATATATATATATATATATATATATATATATATATATATATATATATATATATTTTGTTTAGCCGAAATCTCAAATGGCCATTTTGCTTACTTACAGATCTTCTATTTGGTTGGGTTCGGCTTATTCTGCTTAGAATCATTGCTAAGTTTGTCGGTGCTGCAGGTCAGTGACTATTGAATTGATATTTTCCAGTCTCTGTATAACATCAGTAGTTTGTGAGATTCAGTTGTGTTAACTATTATCTGCTTCATTCTGATGCTCATAAAATATAGTATTTGTTGACAATATCATTTAATGCCCTTCCCGTTAACTCCATAAATGAAACATTAAACAATAAGAATGTTCATACAAGCTTGCCTCCAGATATTCTGAACCAATGAATTATTTGTTTCTGCTAATATGAAAACCCGAGGGTGGGAAGGGGGTAACACAATAGTTCTCAGGTCCTTCTGTCCTTCACTAAAGAAGGTCATTTAACACGATTACAGTATCATTTTTCTCCTCCGGCTTGTCTAAACATTACATTGGTACTTCATTTTGCAGAGAGTTTACATGCACTTCCGAGGGAATAAGTGATATTAAAACTGTCGTTCCAATGATCATCCAGAGAATGTTTATGGAAACATTTTTCCATGCTGCCCGATTATAGAGTTGTTTATTAGCTGCCTTGGGTTAGGTTGAGGTGAAAATGACTGGATTCTTATATTTATTTGTAACTTTGTAATGTTTATTAGTGGTAGGCTTTATATGTGCTTCCTTTGTTGACCAAGATATTTCATAAGCACCAATATTTTCTCTAGTTTCTTGTGCAATTCTCGTACTACATAAATGCCATCCCAAGCATTGGAATACAATTCCTAAAGTCTATTCTTTCAGCGAACAAAACAATAGAATACAATTACTGTTTTATTCTCTATGGAATAACATTTGTATTCCCTCAAAATTTATTCCGTAAACCAAACGTGTTGTCAATGATTTGGTGAGATATGTAATGTGGCAACTGGGAATGCAACCAACCGACACTCACTCCTCTTTCTCGCTATTAGTAAATAGGAATATGTTGTCTTAGGTATCAAGTTAACAACCTCAATTTTGGTACGACCTCATTCAATTCTCTCCTTAAAACTATGCCCACTTGACACAAGAAAGTGCCACTCATATTTCTATGGTCATTTCTTAAATTACTTTGTCATATACTCATATATACATATATTACTACTACAAGATGCAATGTTCGAATCCTACTAAAGACCCAGAAAAAGGATAAGAATTTGATCTTGTTGTAAATATTAGTATACAAATACTTGAGACAGATCGATTTACCTCTTCCACTAGCTTTTAACACAAAAGTTGTGACTTTTGAGGAGCTTTTAAGTTTGGAATTCAAACATATATATTAGCACTACAACATCATCTTCTGTCATTAGTTGTCAAACACTTTCATTTTTTTTTCTTTCTATAAATTCAGTTATTAAAATTTTAAAATGAATATTATTGTCATACACACAAGTAACTGTCTAATAAATAATAAATTAGATATTTATATGGGAACTTATATCCTATCAGTTAGTAGCAATGCTGATTAAAACATGATCACATTTGTGTAACATTGAAATACTTTTCAATACTACCTAAATGTATTTGACACAATTAGAAATCATTATTTCGAATAATATCATGTACAATCATATCGTATAGTGAATTAATTTACTGTTTGTTTTGTTTTGTTATTTTTTTTCTTAAAATTTATTTAGAGAACATTTTATGCTCATTTGTTTTTAATATGTTACTACTATCATTAATCTATTAATAGTTATAATTATTCTACATTTTTCATTGTCTTGAAAAAAAGGTACTAAAGTACAAAAGCAATCTCCAAAATTCCACAATATATATACAAGGTCCATATTCCCTCCATTCCTCATCTTCTAAAGACCATCATCCTGCTGCCACGTGGAAAATAATATCCAAAACTACAAGAATGTCCACCAGGCTTTCCATTTTTCATATTTATCACAAACTCCATACCCTCACTCAATATATATATATATATATATAATGTTCACGGAATATTTTTTTTTTCCAAGTTAGTCAGAGAATTGACTTAGTAATCACAATATTTCAAGTCTGATTTTTGTTTATTAACTTTTTTAATTTGAATTAATTAACTATGGCAACTTATTAAAGCTGATTTACCTACTTAGGGTTTTTTGCTGTTAAGATTACAAGACAAACTTCACTCAATATGCACATTCGGATAGTGATTATGGAATTTCTATAAATGAAAGAATAATATTTTTTTTCTTTAATTTATGGTGAGTATGACCACCACACACATTTACAATAATGTCCTTGTCCACCTCCATTGCACCGGAGAAGAATTGTCCAAAACCAGGGGTATGGCAGTCACCAGAAAAACAGCAAACAGTGGCTCTCATCACTTTTCTATCCAAATTCCAAATAAACTCTTGCCATATGATTTCTCTAACCTCAGCCATAAACCACTTTCTTAGCTCTTAGCTCTTATTCATGTCATCAGCTTAAGCCACTTATATCCACACCTTCCATTATTATCTGCCATTTCTCTCTGAACATTTTCCCAGAAGAGAAAGAACAATGGCAGTTTGCACAGTGTACACTGTTCAATCCCTCCACTCAACATGTTCAATCTCCACGCCCACCAAAACCCACTTCCAAAGACAGGTTTTTGTCTACAAAAAGAGCGCTAGGAAGGTGGGAATTTCGTGCGCCGCCGCCGGGGGCGACGGCAAGACGGTGGTGATAGGCCTGGCGGCGGACTCGGGGTGCGGGAAGAGCACGTTCATGCGGCGGCTGACCAGCGTGTTCGGCGGCGCGGCGGAGCCGCCCAAGGGCGGAAACCCGGACTCCAACACGCTCATCAGCGACATGACCACCGTGATATGCTTAGACGACTACCATTCTCTTGACAGGACCGGGAGGAAGGAGAAAGGAGTGACGGCTCTTGACCCCAGAGCTAACGATTTTGATCTCATGTATGAACAGGTTAAAGCTTTGAAGGAAGGTAAAGCCGTTGATAAGCCTATTTATAATCACGTTACTGGCCTTCTTGATCCCCCTGAGCTTACCAAACCCCCCAAGATTCTTGTCATTGAAGGATTGCACCCCATGTAAGTTTTCCCGCTATCTGAAAGTGCGCTCTAAATGTTACCTGTTATTAAACGAAAGTTCGTGCGTTTGAGTGACTGATACAGTATAAAGAAATAAAGTTGCGTTTTCACTACTAATTATAATTTTTAGTAAGTGATAAGTGCGATCTGACCATGCATCTTCCGCGCATACATGCACATATATGATTAAGTATTTATAGATATCACCTCACTTTTACATACACATGCAAGGACTAACTGGATCATTGAGGAGAAATGTATTTTTTTTATCGTTAATTTTAAGGATACAATTGATAAGAGATATGTGGATATCTATGATCTATCCTTGAATCTTAATTGTATGGTTGAGGAATTAAGATTGCCCAGTGTCATCGATCTTCTTCTGGGCCCATTCCTGTCTCTATCAACTATATCTTCCCTTTTTCCTTCTTTTATTTTTGGATTTTATTTTAATTAACTAGTATTTTCTATGGCCAAGCACCTTGTGTTCGAGTCTCAGTGGAGGCGGTGTTGACTTTGTGTACTTCAACAGCTTGAGAAAATATAAATGAACAGACATATACTACAATGTAATAGAATCAGTAGCTTTCAAAAAACTAATATTTTCTATGCGCGATGTGTAAAAATTGATGTACAAACTTATTTTCTAAACAGAGGTGGATCCATAAATTCTTTCTAGTGGGAGTGCAAAATAAAAATATTTATAATAAAATATAAAATTGTTGAAATAAATTTAAATAATCTCTATTAATTAATATGATATTCATAAATACTTAGTAAACTTTCTTTTAAAATATTTTTCGTAATTGAATTAAAAACATATTTCGTAGCAATTAATTAATCACTTTAAATAAGTTTTATCATATACATTATAAATTTCATAATTAATATACAATTAGAATTATGAATAAGTCTCACAAATCACAATTTTAATTTTAATGAGAAGATAAAATTAAAATATAATAATATATTCAAAGTGTGTTAGAGAGATATATACATATATTTAATGTGTATAAGGAAATATAAAATATAATTAAAATGTGATGAGTTATCCGAATGCATATAATGTATATTATATAATCTTTTATAAGTTCCAAAATCATATTCAAGACCAAATATTTATAATAATATTTATTACATTATTATAATAAAATATGTAAATAATATATATTTTTTATTATTATATATTATTGTTAGGGGCATATTGATTTTTATATTCATAATTTTTTACCATTCCAAATCCAACCAAATAATGAAATCTATACTTTCAGTAATTTCTTTTTCACCAACCAAACAATGGATTCAACAATTTATTTTTTATGGAATTTCAATTTCATTTCTCTTCCACTATTTTCAGCGGGCTGTAAATTGATGGTCAAAATAATAAGGGAATCTGCATTTTGTGTTCCTCCAATTATACTGGTGGTAAAGACTTAGTCTCTAAGTTATATGGGTGACTATCTTTTAACCCTTAAGTTATGTGCGAAGTGGCGATTTTAATTATTGAGGGACTAAAATTGCCACTTTGTGCATATTAAAGATGATTACATATATAACTCAGAGACTAAGTTCGTAACTTCGTATAACTGGAAGGATAAAAAATGCAATTTTCTCAAATAATAAATTGAAATGTGCAATAGATTAATTAAAGTAAAAGTGTGGCAACTGGCCTGGGGTGACAAATTGACAATTTTATGAATGGATATATATAGGTATGATGCTCGTGTGAGAGAGCTCTTGGACTTCAGTATCTACTTGGATATCAGCAATGAAGTTAAGTTTGCATGGAAAATCCAGGTATATATATATATTTGTTCAATATAATCTGTCATATATCCTGCTTTTTCTTTCTTGAAAACAACAACAATTACTATGGTTTCCCAAGACCCTTTTGGATCTGAATTAGGTTTCTTGAATCTGCAGAGAGATATGGCTGAAAGAGGGCACAGCCTTGAGAGCATCAAAGCCAGCATAGAGGCCAGGAAGCCAGACTTTGATGCCTACATTGGTGTGTATATATATGCATTTTTCTTTTCTGTGTTGTAACCCTTTCTGGATCGAGTCATAATGCACATGGGTCAAACTAACACCGGGATATCTGCCTGTGCAGACCCGCAGAAACAATATGCAGATGCGGTTATAGAGGTGCTGCCGACGCAGTTGATTCCAGATGACAATGAGGGCAAGGTGTTGAGAGTGAGGTTGATAATGAAAGAAGGGGTGAAGCATTTCAGCCCGGTTTACCTCTTTGATGAAGGGTCTACTATCTCATGGATCCCTTGCGGGCGAAAGCTGACCTGTTCTTACCCCGGGATCAAGTTCACCTATGGACCCGACACATACTTTGGCCATGAGGTATATATGTTCGCATTGCTCTGATACCATCAAATTATTAACTGCTCTGATACCAAATTGAATCATGTGTCCCGTCCATACACACAAACAAACAGGTGTCTGTGCTGGAGATGGACGGGCAGTTTGACAGACTAGATGAGCTGATCTATGTTGAGAGCCATTTGAGCAGCCTCTCCACCAAATTCTATGGTGAAGTGACACAGCAAATGCTGAAGCACGCCGACTTCCCGGGGAGCAACAATGGAACAGGCTTCTTCCAGACCATTGTTGGGTTGAAGATCAGGGATCTGTATGAGCAGATCGTTGCCACCCGGGCTGCAGCTCCAGTGGAAGCCAAGGCCTAAAAAAATTCGCCCAAATTCATTACTCTTTCCCTTTCTCATCACTTCTCTGTGGTTTTCACTTTTCATTTAGGTTTTCTTTCTCATCTTTCATGTAATTCCACTTGAGAGAGAGTTAGGTGATATGATATGATATGATCCCCCATAAATGAGAAACAGTCCATGTGTATTTACTTCCAGCTGCCTCTCAAAGATAGATAAGCAAAAGAAAAACAAAAAAAAATGGTGAAGCCATGCATGAATCTACATCATATATCTTCACTGGAAAATACTATAACTTAGGAGAATTAAGCACATATAACTATATAAGCATTCCATATGATCTGATAGCCTTTATATAGGAACACATAAACAGAAACAGATATACCCATACTTAAAATGCTAGATTATGGGATTTATGGCATAATTAAGATAATCCCAGAACTGGAAACAAACATGCATATATGGTCCCTTCTATATTTTGGAAGTCATTAAGAGGGTCCTAAGCTCCTTTCTCAGAATCTTTCCTTGAGCAGATTTTGGTATTGATTTTGTAAAGTAGACTCTTCTAACCTTCTTGTATGGTGCAACCTGCAATTAATCACAGAAAGTGTAAAGATCCTTTAATGGTGAAAGAATCTGGATGGAGATTCAGATCAAAGAATGAAGAAAGAGTGACCTGTTTGGCTACAAAATCAATCACAGCTGCCTGGGATAGTTCACTGCCTTCTGTCTTCACCACAAAAGCCACAGGAATCTCTCCAACTTCTTCATTGCTGGCTCTGCACAATAATGCAACATATAAATAAGCTACAGAAGAGGAAACCCACAGTCCCTATCTGAAAGTCTGCACCAGGTAAATCCTGGTTTGTGGTCCTAGCCGGCGAAAGAATACTAAGAGATAAATCAGCTTAGATTGTCCATAGCTGACTGACTCAATCCAAGAAGGCTAATTTGCTTGCTTTCTTGATCTTGTGAACTAAAACTTTCTTTTATATTTTGGTGTTGTTGAATTGTAAAAAGAAAAGAAATTGGGAAGTCAAACAAGGGATTGAGCATACGAGGTAACTGCAGCGTCTGTAATATGTGGATGAGACATCAAGACTGATTCTAAATCAGCAGGAGCAATCTGCAAATTAAGGAGAAAGGTTATTCTTAACAACACAATTGACTAAGACCTTGCAATCTAGTGGGATCAGTATGCGAACGAGCCCCCCTATCTAATGCGTGGGCAATCTTATTCACTGATCTAGAAATATACCGAATAGACAATGTTTCAACTTATGAACTTCTACTATAATTCACTTGTTTAACAACTTTTATCACCACCTATATATTTATCCACTCGCACTCTTATCTACGAATCTACCAACTACTATGATTACATTCATTATCCCTTTTTTTTCTTATTTTTCCATCATTATCTATTTTCTTCATTCCCTATATTGCTGATTTGTCAATTTATAGAGCATGGTGTCTTGAGATACCTAACTTTTATCTCTGAATATTTATTTGTAATTTGGCACCAAAGAAGCGTGAGAAGATTTGGAATTGTAAATAGAAAATTGGGAAAATAGTGTTATTATTATTTAATTGGTAAACCCAGAGTTTCTACTGTACACAGTGACTAATCTCCTCGTTGGATTGTAAGCACCTCTCTTAAATGGTACAACTGGGGAAAATAGTATATATATATATATATATATATATATATATATATATATATATATATATATATTTATTTATTTATTTATTTATTTATTAGTGACAAAAGAAACAATCAACCACTGATGATGTGCACGAAATAAATTTCACATTGTATAATAAGGGACGTTATGCCATGGAACCGTGTTCACCATTCATGGTGAACACGGTTTCAACGGTGTTAGTACACCGTTATCTTTTTTTTTTTTTTCTTAATTAATTGCGTGACTTTTCTTCTTTATTTTCACATTTTGCGGTTTCACTTTAATTTGAGGTGAACAAAGATTTCGGACATTCATAAATTATGAATTCATGCCTGCACATTCACTTTGGAACCATGCCTACACATTCCCGTCCGAAATCACGGACATTCATAAATTATGAATCCATGCCTGCACATTCACTTTGGAACCATGCCTACACATTCACTTTGGAACCATGAGATTATGAATTTTCTGTTATAAGATTATGAATTTTCTGTTATGAGATTATGAATTTTCTGTTATGCGATTATGAATTTTCTGTTATGAGATTATGAATTTTCATTACATTCATAATTTCGAACATTCATAAATTATGAATTCATGCCTGCACATTCACTTTGGAACGATGCCTACATATTCCCGTCCGAAATCACGGACATTCATAAATTATGAATCCATGCCTGCACATTCACTTTGGAACCATGCCTACACATTCACTTTGGAACCATGAGATTATGAATTTATGTTATAAGATTATGAATTTTCTGTTATGAGATTATGAATTTTCAGTTGTGAGATTATGAATTTTCTGTTATGCGATTATGAATTTTCTGTTATGCGATTATGAATTTTCATAAAATTCATAATCTCATAACAGAAAATTCATAATTTGATCAAACGCGCGCCGTTAACTCCACATCCGCAATTTTTTTTTTTTTTTGCCTAAAAACGACGTCGTTTTGCCTTGTGTTCACCATTCTCGGTGAACACGATTCCATGGCATAATTTGCGGTATAATAAATCATATAAAAAAGGTTAACCACACTAGAATATATATTAGGAACACCGCGTTAGTACTTGTTACAACTAAATCATTATTTCAAATAGTAAAAAAAATGTGACAATAATTAATTCATTTTCTCTTTCTCAATTAATATCCTATGACCCACTTTTTAATTACTGTATTATTTGAAACGGTGATTTGTCAAATTATAAGGCATGGTGTCCTGAGATACCTAACTTTATTTTTCAATATTTATTTGTAATTTGGAACCAAAGAAAAGTGAAAAAGATTTGGAATTATTGTAAATAGAAAATTGGTAAAATAATGTTCATGAATTATAAAAAAAACAACATTTTTCGTCCCGTATTTATATGCATATATAGTACCTGGAAACCTTTGTATTTGATCATCTCTTTTAACCTGTCATGCACGTACAGATACCCATCTTCATCAAAATACACAATGTCTCCGGTATGGAGCCACCCATCTTCATCTACTGCATTCTTGGAAGCCTCACCATTATTCAAGTACCCTGCAAATATATAAAGTTTGTGTTGAGTATCATATATATATATATATATATATATATATATATATATATATATATATATATATATATATAATAGAATTAAGTTCCAGGTGCATGTTTTCCACTCATGCGGTTGTACAGTACTGAGTAATGTGCATGAGACTTGTGCTTAAGGATCGGAATTGAGGTGCGTGAATGTGTATTTTTGTGCTTAACCGACACTGGAAGTCCATCTGGGCCTGATCCCTTCCCTCTCTCTCTCTCTCTCTATATATATATATATATATATATATACAAATTCACTTCTATAGTAATGATTATACCATGTCATCATATTTCTTATATTTTTACAATATCAGCCTAATTTCTCAAACAGTTCCTAATTGTATTATTGAGATGTGGGACTGAGTCTTTAATGTCTTATTATTATAACTTATCAACCAGCTGAGTTTGTCTTATTATTATAACTTATCAACCAGCTTGTTGTGGGGCTGGCAGATCAGACAATGAATGAAATTATGAATAGTTGGGGATGGGATGGGAGTACCTTTCATGATACCAGGACCGCGCAGCCATAGCTCCCCCATGGAGTTTGGAGGCAAGGATGAACCACTGCTCCAATCTACCACTCTAGCTTCCATGTTGGGAGCCAGAAGTCCCACAGAAGTGTGGTTACGAAGCTTTGCAGTGTTGAAACCTCTTGTTCCAACTGCACTGGACTCTGTCATGCCATAACCCTGCATGGATAGATAGATCCACAACTCTTTATCATCACTCACTACTGGAAATTATGGAATTTCTGATCACCAAAAGTGGTCGAAACAAGGCTTTTGACCTGATTTAAGATCATTTTCAGATGGTTGGAAATTATATAATTTTCAGCGGTGACTGTCTTAACCCAGCCAAGTTAGTCAGACTGTCTTGTTTATTTGTAATCACAATGCTACAAATTTGACTTCAAGGGCCTTCTTGATTCGAATGGTAACCTAATCTGGTTTATCTATTGTAATCTAGAGTCACAATATATGATTTACTCCGACCAGTTTAAATATATACCTGAATGAAATCAATGTGGGGGAATGTGTGAACAAAGTCTTGAATGGAAGTTATGCTGACCGGAGCTGCTCCACAAGAAACCTGTTTCAGGCTCTTCAGACGACTGCAATTAGCAGCGCCGCCGACAGCCGCCTTTGCTTTTCTTGTCAAAGCAACCAACAATGGCGGCGCCATGGGGAAATGGGTGACTCCATATCTATCTATGGCTCTCACCGCATCGTCGATATCGTATTTCCTCATCACCACAACGGTGGAACCCAACGACAACAACCCCACCACGAAAAGCGACAGCCCATACACGTGAAACATCGGCACAACATCCAAGTACACGTTCGCCGTCGCCGGATACTCGTACTGCGAAGCTTCAAACCTCACGAAGAGCGCCACCGTAGCTATGAAGTTGGCGTGCGTGAGCGCCACCGCTTTGCAGCCGCCCGTCGTGCCCGACGAAAACAGTATGGCGGCGGTGTCTTGCTGGTTGATTCTCGGGATCGGAGCCAGTTTTTTTGGGTCACTAGAGATTAATAACTTGCCAAACTCATCAAGATTTAAACTTTCCGGCAACCCAATAACCGGAATACCCAATAATGCAGAACCCAGATTTTGAACTCGATCAGGAGTGGCAAACGCGAGGCGGACATTACAGTCGAAAGCTTGCTTCTTTATCTCGGCCAAAGTGCTGAGAGGATTCATGGTGGCCGCCACTGCGCCCACGCTTAAAAGGCCGAGGAAGATGACCGGGAAATAAATGGAATTGGGCAGCAAAAGCAAGGCCACATCGCCTTGCGAAACGCCCATGCGGTGGAGAGCGGCGGCCGTGGAGTTGACGAGAGAGTGGAACTCCGGGTAGGAAAGTGAAAACCCAGATTGGGAATCCACCAGAGCAGACACGCCGCCATGATTGTGTGAGAAAATGAAGGAAACGACGTCGAGGAATGGGTGGGATGGGAGTTGTACAGAAGGGTGTAAGCTTCTGTATATTCCTGTTTCTGCAGAGTACCAATATGGGGTGCCGTTACTTTCTGAATTTCGGGTTTTGGAGATGTTTTTGTCAACATGGGTTTTCGCGAAAGTTGTCGCCATTGGTTTATTTGAGATGGACTGGCAATGCAGTGACTGATCAATCCCCGTTTAATAAAAACCGAAGGCCTTATTTTTGTATGTGTTATCTATAAAACTCTCTTGTGATGGTAGCTGATAAAAAATTACAAAAGATAAATTAATTTAGGTTGTTTATAACTGACTGTCTCAAATTAAAAAGGCTGATAAACAGCTAACATGCTCTTATATCTTTGAAATAATATATGTGATTTAACAAAAGTTGTGGCCATTGATTTATTGGAGATGGGCTGGCAATAATGCAGTGACTGGTCGTTCCCATTTAATTGAAACCAAACCTTAACTGTTGTTTGTGTATATCATTAGAATATAATAGAAGTTGGTTATTTGTCCAAATATATATCCAATTTGTTTCATGCATTCTTCTACATTTGTACCATACACAGCTTATTAGTTATTAGTGTTTGGTAAACATCTTATCATCCGATCCAATTTTGTTAATTTAATTAATTTTACTAGTTTAGCATGACTATACCATTACCATAAATGTTAATTAAGTAAATGGTTGTATGACTTAATTAACCTAGCTTAGTTGACAAATAGTGATTGTATTAATGGATATATAGTGAATGCTATTATAGTTTTGACAAGTGAATTATTGTATTAACAATTTTATAATTTGTAGGGGTTGGAGATTCGACATTTTGAGAGAAGAAGGATGTAGAAACTGAGAACGTCGCGAAGAAATTAAATTTCGTGTATTGGCTTTGATACAAATGAGCAAAGAGTAGTGGGAAATTAAACTCACACTGCATATTTGCATGCATGCATCTTTATTCACCATTTGATAGCGGCTATATATATAGGCAATACATAAACACAAACATACAATAAAGCATGCAGCAATATAATAGATCAGATGAGCGACTAATAAACTGATCACTAACACTAGCTACAAGTTCCTATAATATAATACATAGGAAACAACACAGCAATAATGCCACAAGACTATATATGATCGACAACCTTAGCTTATTAATAACATTCAACAGATATATATGCAAGAATTGAACTTAAGAAAATGTTACATTATATTATAATATTCAAACTAGCTTAGCTGCTAATAAAACAACCATGCATGCATGCATAATGAGGCTGCTAATTAAGCTAGTTGGATGAGTCCTGGAGAAAGATCAGAGGTGTATCTGTGTACATAATTATATTTTGGAAGTGATGAGGAGATTCCTAAGCTCCTTCCTAAGAATCTTCCCTGATGCAGACTTAGGTATTGATTTTGTAAAGTAGACTCTCCTAACCTTCTTGTATGGCGCAACCTGCAATATTATAATATAATCACAGAAAGTGTTAATGGTGAAAGAACTTAATTGGGCTGGGGATTGGATGTGATTAAAGAAATTAAATTAATTAAAGAATGAAGAAAGGTAGAGTAGTGACCTGTTTGGCTACAAAATCAATCACATTTGCCTGGGATAGGGATACTTCACTGCCTTTCTTCTTCACCACAAATGCCACCGGAATCTCTCCAACTTCTTCACTCTGGGCTCTGTTACAATGCCACATATCAGTAAATTAAAACCCCTTTAATTTGCTTACTTAATTTCTTCTTCTTGTGAAATAAATCTTCATTTTTATATTTACAAATTAAAGAAATGGATCGGGATAGGAATTAGGATATGATGAAACTTAACGTACGAGGTTACTGCAGCGTCAACAATGTCTGGGTGACTCATCAACACTGCTTCTAAATCAGCTGGAGCAATCTGCAAATTAAAGGACAAATGCATGTTCTTCTCATAAGTTTACATACAATTTTTTCACTTATACTTCTTGATTTTTATTTTTATTTTTTTGTTTTCGAAAAACAAGAAACATTACTTCATTCAATAATGTCCAAAGACAAAACAAACACAAAGAAAGGGAGGAGGAGCGCCCTGCCACTCCAAAACGCCTGACATAGATCAGAACACCCTAGTTAAGACATGAGTAACCCGACTGACAAATTGAATGGTTAATTAAATTTTGAAAAGACTTCATAAGTGATCTAATATCGTCTTCAAGGCTTCAACAATTGAGCCCAAAGAACCAACCCCTGCTGACCCTTGAACCGCACGCACCTCTTGCTGAGCATCCATCCCAACCACTACACCCTCTCAACCCAACTCCTTTAGTCAACTCAAAGCCTCCAAATATTGGTACGGTGTTGGACTTAGTGCTTGACTTTAAATTTCTTATAATCTTATTATTGTTAGTCATTTTCAGGAGTTTTCCACCCAAACATTTCTTGAAACAAGCATTTGCACTAATAATAGTGAAAAACTATAGGTGAAAATGTGACAAAAGTCAAAAGACAAAAAATGATAAAAACTCTTAAAAAAAGATTATTGTTGAGGTAATATGATCAATGGATCAAAGCCCAATATGCCCAAAGATAAATTTTTGTATTTAGGTCCGACTGGATCTTAAATAATGATGTTATTTTCATATATTGGACCGGCAATATGATAGGTAGGTATTGAAATTTTGTTTTTTGTTAGGTGCGCTGCAAAGGACCACCATATGTACGGGCTGATGCATGCATGCAAGCAAGCTTGGATTTTCATCTTATCCTCAAAAAAATTGGAGTATGTGCTCCAACTCAACTAAAAGCTTAAGTTGATAGTTGGATTTTGGGCTCCAAACAACACATGGATTATAATTGCATCCTCAAAAAAATTGAAGCATGTGCTCCATGTCAACTAAAAGCTTATGTTATATTATATGCTCAACAAAGAAAGAGTACCTGGAAGCCTTTGTATTTGATCATCTCTTTTAGCCTGTCATGCACGTACAAATACCCATCTTCATCAAAATGCACAATGTCTCCGGTATGCAGCCACCCATCATCGTCTACTGCATTCTTCGAAGCCTCGCCATTGTTCAAGTACCCTGCAATTATATTTTTTTTATTTATGCACCAAAATATATATTTGGAGCCACTGCAGTTAACTTAGACTATTTATCAGTGAAATACTCTCTCACTATTTTCAAAAGTAGTCGCATTCTCACATCACAATATAATAAAATAACTAATTAATAATAAAGTATAAAAAGACAGTGGCATGGCAACTTGCGTCCGTCTTTTTTTTGTACTTTACAAGCTTGCAATACACCTAAGAAAAAAAAAATAAAATTATTTTTCCACTTATTTATCCAAACTGTGTAACCCCATCTTTAATTTTCAAGGATATATAGGGTCAGCCTTAATTTGCATGCATTGGTAATTTTCAAGGATATATACATACAAATATTATATATGGGGTGGGAGAGGGGTGAGGAGGGCACCTGCCCCTCCCCCCCCGGCTCCGTCTCTATGTGTCGGGGATTATTGTATGGACCATGATTCACATAGTTTTGTAGATCATATTATCAAATAATGTACATTCAGTACACAAATAATGTATTTTTAATATATTAAAAATATACATTGTATTCGGAGATTTACATTATTTGAGTATCGAAAGTACATTATTTTGTATAATGTATATTCAGTACACAGATAATGTACTTTTAATACATCAAAAATGTATTTTTTGTTATGGTCCACACAATAACTCGTCGTGGGACTGAACTGATGGATACCCCTAAGTTGTGTACCCAGTTAGGGGCATGCACAAACACTCGGGCTTGCAACCTATCCGAGAGACGACTGGAATTTCAAATTCGGGCACGGGTACAAGCGCAAGTGGCCTTCGTTTTTAAGCATGTAGAACTTGTTTTACAGTTGCATTGGCCCAGGCCGGGTGACAGGGACCACGCGCGGAGTATTATTACCATTATTATTAATTCATCAACTAACGAATTGAAGCAGCTTGCGTACGTTGTGGGACTGGCAGTGAATGCAAATTAAATTAAAGATAAAGACGACGATGAAGAATATATGAATGGATCGGATAATAATGGGGCCGGGATGGGTGTAAGTACCTTTCATGATAGCAGGGCCGCGTAGCCATAGCTCGCCCATGGAGGTGGGAGGCAAGGATGAACCACCTCCACCGCTGCTCAAATCTACGACTCTAGCTTCCATGTTGGGAGCCAGGAGTCCCACAGATGTATAGTTTCGAAGCTTTGCAGTGTTGAAACCTCGTGTTCCAACTGCAGTAGACTCTGTCATGCCATAACCCTGCAGGTCACCCATCATATATATATATATATATATATATATATATATAAAAGTGTTAATCAATAATAATAAGATAATTACATTTATTTAAATCTAGCTCGTTGTTCTCAACAATGACCCTAAATTCAGTATTCTTCCAAAAGGCTGAACCCTAATCCCTAAGGGTCCCATACTCCGACCCTATTGGGAGGATGTAAATCATGGTAACTCAAAACCACATAGGCTAGGCCGGTGCTCACTGCCCATAAGGAACCCCCTCACTTTGAGAGGTAGCTCTCACACTGTCGCTAGTGAGATTCGATCCATGGTCATTCTTCCAAAGTTTCAACTCTGTGACCAGTTGAGTTGTCCATGGGGGTCTAAATCCAGTATTCTGTTTGGTCTGGATGTGAGGCCGCGAGGTTAAGGATCTAACCTTTGGGAACAATAAAGTGTTCATTAATTAATTGGTATTTATTTTATGGATTCTTACCTGAATGAAATCAATGTGGGGGAAAGTTCGAACGAAGTTTTGAATGCATGTAATGCTGATCGGAGCTGCTCCAGAGGAAACCTGTTTCAAACTCTTCAGACCACACTTATCAGCCTTTGCTTTTCTTGTCAAAGCAACCAACAATGGCGGCGCCACCGGAAAATGGGTAACTCCGTATCTATCAATGGCTCTCACCACCTCATCAACCTCGTACTTTCTCACCACCACCACAGTGGAACCCAACGACAACAGCCCCATCACGAAAAGAGACAGCCCGTACACATGATACATGGGCAAAACATCCAAGTACACGTTCGCCGTCGCCGGATACTCGTACTGCGAAGCTTCAAACCTCACGAACAGCTCCACCATAGCTATGAAGTTGGCGTGGGTGAGCGCCACGGCCTTGCAGCCACCCGTCGTGCCGGACGAGAACAGTACGGCCGCCGTGTCTTGTTGCCGGATTCTCGGGGTCGGAGCCAATTTTGGGTCACTGGAAATCAACTTGCGAAACGGCGAATCAAGATTTAAACTTTCCGGTAACCCGATAACGGGAATACCTAATGTAGAACCCAGATTTTGAACTCGATCAGGAGTGGCGAACGCGAGGCGTACATTACAGTCGAAAGATTGCTTCTTTATCTCCGACAAAGTGCTGAGAGGATTCATGGTGGCCGCGACTGCGCCGACGCTTAAAAGGCCGAGGAAGATGACGGGGAAATAAATGGAATTGGGGAGCAAAATCAAGGCCACATCCCCTTGGGAAACGCCCATTCGGTGGAGACCGGCGGCCATGGAGTTGACGAGAGAGCGCAACTCCGGGTAGGAAATTGAAAACCCAGACTGGGAATCCACGAGAGCAGACAGGCCGCCATGGTTGCGTGAGAGAATGAAGGAAACAACGTCGAGAAATGGGTCGGAAGGGAGGTGTACAGAAGGGTGTTTGCTTCTGTATATTCCTGTTTCAGAACTGTAAAAGCAGCTTCTTCTTCCTTTTTCTGCTGCCGAATTTCGGATTTTGGAGATGTTTTCGTGAATATTGATGGGTTCTGGAGCCCTGGAATCAACATGGATTTTCGCACAAGTGTTCGCCATTGATTCCTAGCTTGGAGACGCTACTAGTTCTCACAATGCAATTACGTTTAATTTTACGTCCTCCACTATATTGAAAAGGAAGGCCTAAACTCGCCCACAAAATAGCCCGACTTACCTAACGAAATAGGCAAATTATTGGTGGACCTGAGTCCAAAAATATACCATTATACACTAAATGTTCACAATTTTTATATACAAAATGTTCATAATTCAAATTGTGAACATTCAGTTTGTAAATTGTAAACGTTCAGTATATAAATTGTGTACTTTGACTAGCAAGGTGGATCCAAGTCCATGACATAACTGTTGAACAAAATAATAATGGATGAATAAATTAGATAACTCAACGATTCATTAAATTCTAAGTTTAAATTATCCGACTATTAAGGTCTCACACTCTAACTCGACAAGATGAATATAGATGACTAGCAGGTTGGAAGATTAGTGCCTAATACTTTCCACAAGGATAATTCTAACATTATACTTTTCTAACACTCAATTGAATTACCGTGTGCGCAAGTAGAAGGCTTAAACTTCTCTTGTGTGTGAAAGTCTGTATACATCACTATTAGGTATAGAATATAATAGAAGGGTATTTTTAGTATTTATCCAAATTTCCAATTCTTTTCTTTTTCCTTTATTTCTTTCTTTTTTCTTTTTCCTACTCTACCCAGCAAACTAATCTAAATTTAGTACAAATTCACATGTAGAAGTCTTATAAACCTAAAGAAAGTCTAAATGTCTAATCCTAAAAAGTTTTCGAACTTTTTTTTTTTGGGTGCATTTGAGGCAGGAACCCCTCCCCCCCCCCCCCCCTCGCCTAATCCAAAAAAAATTCCAACTTTACGTACACATCCAATAACCAAATCTCCCATCTTGATAAAAAAGAAAAAAGAAATTCCAGCTATACTTATAGTCAAGCCACTTGGTTATTGGATTTGTCATGTGTTTATATTCGAGCCCACATTATAGTCACCACCTTCTTCTGCATGTCTCCGTTTCCTCAATAAACACATGAGAAAGCCAAGGAGGATGCCATTTTAATTTCCAGCTCCACGGTCTGCATGGTGATGAATAGGTGATACCCAATTGTTTTACCACGGACCAGTTCATATTGCATTGTGAACTTGATACAAAAATTCTGTACCTTCCGTTAATCTACAGTTAACCGTTTGTGTACATGTAAACAATAACTTGATAATTGTTGACACATAATATGATAGCTACCAACACAGAAACTATCAATTACAGGTACAGAATGTGTCAACTATATATACAGAATCTAACTTGATAATTGTTTTATGTGATTTTATTTAGAAAATAATAATAATAACGACTAGTTTTTGCCTGCAGCTCAGTAACTTGCACAAGCCCAACAACACCCATGCACACATGATTAATAATAACAATTTCATATGATTTTATTTAGAAAATAATAATAATAACGACTATTTTTTGAACCAATGCACCAAGTACAGGTAGAGAAACAGAGAAACTGTCAGGTACAGAATGTGTCAATAATTATAAATACAAAATGAGAATGTTATTTTTGAACTAAGGTCTACAATGCAAGGTAGACCCTGGTCCATGGTATAATTTGACGGTGATACCCCTGCCAATTGTTATGCCATAGACCCAGGTCCAAAACGACGCAGTTTGCGCGTGTGAAAATAACGGTGCCATTAATGGCACCATTTCCTCAACGAATAATTTATTTTTTTAATTATTGAAAACAACTCAACGAGTGAATATCCAGTTCTATAATTGTGAATATAGAGTTATGCAATTGTGAATATTGAGTTATGTAATTTTGTATATTGAGATTTAAAATTGTGAATATAGAGTTCAAAAATTGTGAATATAGCGGAACGAATTATGAAGACAAACGGCAAGTTAACATCATGGAAGGAAGATTTTTTTTTTTTTTAAATTTCAAAACGACGCCGTTTTGGACCCGGGTCTACAACGTAATTTGCCATTGATGTGCCAGACTGCACCAGTTTGATTACATTGTACTCAGATCCGACCCTATCATTTTATAGGCCCGGAGTATAATAACAAAATAGGCCCTATATAAAATTTTCATAACTAAAATTTAAATTAAATAAGAGAAAAAATATTAATGTCAAATAACTTGAAATTATATTTACAAGTTTTTAACAATTTTACATACACATAATAATCATAAAAACAATTCTAGATGCTATCCTAAAAGCAAAATAATCAATCTTCATAAATAAAGAATTATAGTTTATAAAAACGAATAAACAATTTTAAAACTATATAAGCTAAGCTTATAGACAATATCACATTGTTATTATAATAAATAATAAAGTAATTATTAATTAAAATTTATTTTTAAAAAAACTTACAAATAATAACCAAGCATTAAATCTTAATTATTCAGATCAATAAATCAAAACACTTTAAAACATGATAAATTATATTTATAACAAAATATGAAACATAATTAATTGGATAAAATAGTTCTAATAGAAAACACAATTTAAATCATACATCTTCTCCATTTATAGTACTACGTAGTACCTACCCGTCAAAGTTTTAAATAATTATTAGAGAAGTCAAATTTTATTTTGATCTTTCTCACAACCAACAAAAGCTATTGCAACAACCACCTAGCATGAAAATTTTCAGCAACTTTTTATGAAATTTTTCCAGTATCGAAATCGTGTCATAGTAGGATAATCATTTAATGGGTAATAAAAAAAAGTTAATTTATTTAAAATTTAAATTTTAATAATTAATGTTTTACTCACTAACTTCTTTTTTTTTTTAACTTTTTTTTTTGGTACATGAGGATTTTTTTTCTTTTTTAACACACGCATGATATAAGAATTTTTTTTTTTTTCTAATATCAAAATGACGTTGTTTTGGACTATGGTCCACAATCCACATAATAATTTGCCGTGTAGGTTCACCTGCTTTTACGGTTATACCCTCGTCATTCAATTTCTAATAATGGATGTTCTGTTTGCAAACTAAGGCATTTGATGTGTTTGGTACCCTTCAATCTTAAAATATGCACTATATTTGAGTGCATTGGTTAATGGGTGAAAGATCAACTAATTTATCCAAAACAAAAAAAAAAGAAAATCGAAAAAATTGCAAAATTTGCTTACTTGTCATTTTTTTCTAACTTCATGATGGAGATGCACGTAACTCTATGTTTTTATCTAAATTTTAGAGAGCTATTTAACAAGCTAATTAAGTACGTTTTCCAAATTGGAGAAATGGAATTCCTAGCTACTAATTTCCTTTTCTTTCTTTTCTTCTTTGTTACGTTCCTTGGCTAGCTTCCTTCTCCAACGTAACGTCTGTCTTTATGGTCACCGCCTCCCTCTCCCAGGGTTTGACAAAACATTTGAGAGAATATAAATTACGGTGACTTAATTGCTTAACAGATAGGGTCAAATGCCGGTGCACACAAGGGATCTGTCGATTTTGGACATAATTCCCTAAATGCCGGTGCACTGTCACTATCAATTAGGGATGGCAACGGGGCGGGGCGGGGGCGGGGAGTATACTCCCCGTCCCCGTCCCCGAAACCCCGACCCCATCCCCGTCCCCGTCCTCATCCCCGGCGGGGAATTGAAAACAACCCCCATCCCCGTCCCCGCGGGGAATTAGGCGGGGACGGGAATTCCCCGTCCCCGATTAATTCTTAATCAAAATTTTAAATTAGTGTAATTTTTAATTTTAAAAACTAAAAAGTTAAATCTTAATTTAATATATATATATATATATATATATATATATATATATATATATATATATATATATATATAAAATGTAACAGTACGTACTGCCTTAGCATTTCATTACTTTATATTATTTATATTTATTTATTTATTTATTTTTAATAATAATAATTATTCGGGGACGGGGCGGGGCGGGGAGGGGTATCCCCGTCCCCGACGGGGAATTACAAACATTCCCCGTCCCCGTCCCCGTTCCCAGAAAATTTTCTACATCCCCGTCCCCGTCAGGACGGGGATCGGGGATCCCCATCGGGGACGGGGCATATTGCCATCCCTACTATCAATGTTCGAACATTAACCTTTTCTCCTAAATACTACATATTGAACCAGTAAGCTAAGCTAAGCCCGTACAAACATTATTCCTTCTCTAGCCTCTATTTCCAATGCTACCATCCACCACCATTTCCCAAATTTCATTTATTAATGTTATTATAATTTATTTATTAATATTTGTTATCTTTCAAGTAATTAATATTAGTATATCAAAATTGACCTTATAATTTATATCATTATTTTCTTAAGAAGAGAAAATGACAGTTTTAGTCTATTAACTACGCTAATATTGTAGACTCAGTACATAAATTATTGCTCTCTATAATTTTTTCTCCTTTAATTATGTTGAAAGAGTCTCAACCAATCCATTACTTATAAATTTTGTTAAAATTAAAATTTTATATTCTTTTGTAAAAAATTTTCAAGCATAACAAAATAAGTTTTTCACATTATATTTAATTTGATGATTTCAAGTAAATGTTGGGTTTTGTTGTATTGTTGACTACTTGAAAATATGATATAAATTTGCTCTATTAGTCTATTATTATATATTTAGTTATTAAATGTTTAATGCTTGTATAAATAATTTTTGAATTTTAATCATGTTCCCGTTTTGACCTTCTCATAATGAATAATTAGAAAGCAAAAAATTTTTGGGTCTATAATTTAAAGATTAAAATTGCAATGTGACATGATTAAAATTACAATGCGATATTGTTTTAAAAAAACTCGCAATGCGATTAAAATTTTGAAAAAATTATGTTCTTTAAAAACAATTTAGCAATTGATTTAGTTGATTAAAACAATAATTTATGGACTAAATCTACAATTGAATTTAGGCATAACTAATGAATTAAAACCATCATTTTCCTTCTCAAGAAATTGAGTTTTGGAAATGAACTTGAATTGAAAAATAAAATTATTCTCATTTTTTCAAAATAATAACTAATATCCCGTGATCTTTTTCATACATAGAGATATATATATATATATATTTTA